GTGGCAAATGCCAGGTGCCCCGCAGGGAGTGAACAGAACAGGTAATCATCAAGTGATCCCTCCCCTGACACCTATTTCTAGCATCTGACGAACAGAGGGCTAGGGACACCATTTCTAGCCATCCTGGCTAATAAGTATTGATGGACCTAACCTCCATGAATTTATCTAGTTCTTTTTGAACCCCCTGTTCCTTGCCTTCATAACATCCTCTGGCAATGAATTCCACTGGTTGACTGTTCACTGTGTGAAGAAATACTTTACTTCTGGCAAAGGGCAGACTGCATGACGTTAGTCAGACCCTCAGAAAACGTGTGCATTCTCTGCATCATCTCTAGCTCACAAATGCCAGGAATAACATTAATAGAAAATAATTGGTAAAATGAGAGAGATGCAGAGGAGCTGAACTTCTTTTGTTAATGTCAGATTTAAAATTAATCTTAGAAAATCAAAATTCTAAATATTTTAGGGCACCTTTTTGTTATTTACATGCTGCAGCTCCTCTCCCTGTCCTCCTGTGGCCCAGCACCTCCACTCACATTCATCTCCTACCCCAGTCTGTCCTTGCCCATTAGTCCTTATGAACCCCACCCAGTCAGTGACCACCCAACCCCATACTAGCTGTCTCTCTTCTTCTCCCCCACCTGTAGCCCCTGTTTCCTGACCTGGCTCGTAGGCATAGTGCTGACAGGCAGACAACCTCTTCCCTTAGGTGTTGGCAGCTATGGCTTTGTGGCTGCTCCTGCCCCAAAACAGTTGCTCTGTTCCAGCACCATAGCATTCCCTGGTTCACAGATGGCAGGACTGTAACATCTTTCCAGCAGAAGTTATTTTCTGTGGGGGGAAAAATTACGCATGACATATTTATCATACATGTACATGGTGGTGCAGAATTCCCCCCGGGGTCTAGCTGCATGCATGACATTAGTTGGGAAAAGAGGTAGGAATATCAGGTCTACCAAGTTTGTGATACTGTAGGATAGGGACATTTCACACTAGATAATACTGCTTTCTAATAGAGGTGTCTTATTAATAGGGCTTTCCTTTGGTCCGGAGACCAATTCTGCCTACAGATGCATCATTCTGCTCACAGATTCCATGAATCCTGGCTTAGCATTCTAGATTATAGCTGGGAACTTTTTGCCTCATCCTGCTAAAGCAAGAGATTTTTAGATCAACAGGTAGCTGTTGTTTAATGTCTGCCTGATCTATTGTTGGAATGGAAAGTATTCTATCATCACAATATAACTATATCATCTGGCTTTCTCAGATACAGGACTTCTGCCTTTTCTGGATTATCAATGGCAATTCTACTTTTCCACGAGAATTATATTTATCACTATTAGCATCATCTTTCTTACACTTGAAATACCTGTTTATTATTTCATAGCTGTCATATCTCCACTAAATTATTTTGGTGTTTTATCAAGTTTGGGCTATTCTCTCACATGTGGGATTTTTGGCATTTAGTAAAATGTTCTTAAGTAATTCCCAATTGCCATTTACATTTTTTTGTTTAAAGTCTTTCTCCCAAATTATTTGGCTCATAACTGTTTTCAGCTTTGTGAAATTAGTCCTTTTAAAGCATTAGGTGTTCACCAACTATTACTTGTATGGACTTCTGATTGCACATGTATGTTTGTGTGTAGGTTACCACCAGTTTTTAGTTCTGTGATTAATTCCTATCTGTGAAGGTCTAAAACAGAATTCTCCTGTGTTGAATGCAACACTTCTTGAGTTAAAGAATTGTCAGCTGAAATGTTTGGATGTCTCATGCTCAGAATTTCTAATGTAAATTGCTCAGATTGAAGTGCCTCGTAACAGTGCAGGTTTTTTTCTATACATTGTAGATAGGAGCATAAGTAGATGGTCATTCTGTTATCTGCTGTGATTTGGTGGTCTGTAGCAGACTAGAGATGTAAAATCCTGTTTAATCAGTTGACCGGTTAAACGTTATGTTTAACCAGTTAACCACTTAAACTGGGGCAGGCGGGAGGGCCACGCCGGAGCAGGCTGGAGTGAGCTTCTGCCTGCAGCGGGTGAGGGTGGGGTGTGTGTGGGTTTGTGTCCTTATAACTGACACAAAGTAGTACCCCATCTAGTTTATCTTACAGTACATTGATCAAGATCATTTTCTTCTGTCAGTGACTTAGAAACAGGTAATAACATTTTTGACAATGTCCTCCTCAATCCCTTTTGCTCACTCAGTCCTTCCTAAATAGATTTTATCCATTAATTTTTTTTAAACATTCTAAAAGAGCAGACATGCCCACTAGGTTTCAGCAATACCAGCTAGATTGAATTTTTGCTTCTAGATGAACAATTCGGATTCCTTTTGTATTACCCTGGAAATATAGGCAATTTGAAGAATTTCCTTACTTCATATTCCTCACGCGTTGATTAATTTTGTTCTCAGCATCTTGGAGATTCTGTTAAACGAGTGCTCATTAGTTCCCGCTTTTCTCATGCTACTTTTGTTGTTAGTTTAATACCCTCCTGACTGTTCTAGTCAGACTGTCCCCTAGAAAATTGGTTCCTCTTCTGCAGAGATAGAAACCATGCAAACTATACAGTCCCTTTTTCCCCATAGGAGAACCAATGTTCCTCACACCAAGTTCTTCTCCCTCCAAGCACATGATCTGCATCTATGCCATTTGAAATTCCCTTTTGCTGCACTTGTTTGTATTAATATCTAATGTATTTTCTAAAGATAGTACAGGTTGACCCTCTTTAGTTCAGCTTACTCTGGTCTGGCAACATCCATAGCCCAGCATGATTTTAGTTAGCCAGATGGCCACATATCATGGGTGTAGTCAAATTTTCTGTTGTCCCATAAGGTGGGTTTTTTTTTTTCACATCCATCAGACCTGGCTCTCAGTGTTCTGAGCTGATGGTTAGCTCTAATTTACCCCAAATGTCTTATAAGAGCCCAGTAAACAGTGGAAGCCTTGGTATTGCTGCTTGACGATTTTAAGCATTGGTAATGCTGCTATAAAATAATGGGGACTAATTTAGCCATAACCAGGGCTCGACGAATTAGGCAATCTACTTGCCTGTGGCGAGTAGATTTTAGCCCAGTGAGGCCAAGCAGCGAGCCCTGGCCATAACTACTCAAGAGAGAGATCTTGGCGCCATTGTGGATGGTTCTCTGAAAAACATCTACTCAGTGTGCAGCAGCCGTCAAAAAAGCAAACAGAATGTTAAGTATCATTAAAAAGGGGATAGAGAAGAAGACTGAGAATCTTATTGCCTCTATCTAAATCAATGGTATACCCACATCTTGAATACTGCATACAGATGTGGTCTCCTCATCTCTAAAAAGATATATTGGCATTGGAAAAGGTTCAGAAAAGGGCAACAGAAATGATTAGGGGGTTTGGAATGTGTCCCATATGAGGAGAGATTAAAAAAGACTTGGATTCTTTTAGAAAAGAGGAGACTAAGTGGGGATATGATGGATGTCTATAAAATCATGACTTGTGTGGAAAAAGTGAATAAGGAAGAGTTATTTACTAGTTCCCATAACATAAGAACTAGGGGTCACCAAATTAAATTAATAGGTAGCAGGGTTAAAATAAACAATAGGAAGTCTTTCTTCACACAAAATGCAGGACAATGTAGTCCTTGCCAGAGGATGTTGTGAAGACCAGGACGTTAACAGAGTTAAAAAAAGAACTAGATAAATTCATGGAGGTTAGGTCCATCAATGGCTTTTAGCCAGAATGGGTAGGAATGTTGTCCCTAGTTTCTGTTTGTCAGAGGCTAGGAATGGATTACTGGGAAGAGATCACTTGGGGTACGTCTGTGCTTGCTCCCTGATTTCAACTAGGTATGCAAATGTAGGCGACCGAAATTGCTAATGAAGCGGGGATTTAAATATCCCGCGCTTCATTAACATGATCTCGCCGGCGCATTACTCCTCTCAACAGCTGATTCGAACCAGGAAGTGTGCGCCAGGATGCGTTAGTTCAAACCAAACCCCTTGGTTCGAATTAACATTACTCCTCATTTTTTGAGGAGTAACATTAATTGGAACCAAAGGGTTTAGTTTGAACTAACACGTCCTAGAGTGCACTTCCTGGTTCGAATCAGCTATTGAGCAGAGTAACACACTGGCGAGATCATGCTAATGAAGCGTGGGATATTTAAATCTGTGCTTCATTAGCAATTTCGGTCGCCTACATTTGCATCCCTAGTTCGAACTAGGGAGCAAGTGTAGACGTACCCATGATGATTACCTGTTCTGTTCATTCCCTGTGGAGCACCTGGCATTGGCCACTGTCACAAGACAGGGTATTGGGCTAGATGAACTTTGGTCTGATCTATGTTTGGCTGTTCTTATGTTTGACAGTATTGACCTCCCATGGTTTGACATAGGGATTTAAGTGACTAATCAATTACCCGATAAGCCTAGGCTTATCGAGTAGTCGAGTCACTACTTAACTAGTTGCTTCCCCCCCCTTCTCCCTGCAGCCTCTGTATCAGGGGCGACAAGGGGTGAGCAGGAACCAGTGCTGGGGGAAGAGGCATAGCAGTTGGGGACCAGCACGAGCAGGGACTGTTTGAATCCCTACTCGGCCCAGGTTCCCAGCTGTGCCTTTGCTATTTAAATGTAGCAAGAGCCCCGTGAGTAGCTTTTGCTACATTTAAAAGGCAAGTGCCCCCCCCCCCCATCAACTAATTGAGTAGTCAATGGAAATTCCATTACACGATTAGCTGATTAATTGAAATGTAACATCCCTAGTTTGAGAAGTTCTCTGGTTCAGCACTGATCCGGTCCCAAGGGTGGCGGACCAGAGAGGTTCAACCTGAAATAAACTACAAATATTTCAGTGAATGTTGATGAATGTTTTGTAGAGCTATCTAGTTCATTCTAAAGGGTTGCTCAGTATAGGCTTATGAAACCAACTGAGAATAACTTGCTTTATTAAAACATGTAACTAAACTTGCTATCTTTTCATACTATAGGATTGTCATTGTTCTAATTTTCTCTTTGATTTTAGCAACGTTATTGCAGACATGAAGATTGGGAAACGTCCTCTCACCCATGCGGCTTCCAGGCCATCCCGCCAGGCTTCATTTGATGATGATGATGATCGGCAAGGTGACTTGTTTCAAAAAGGTTCCCTGTCTGAATTGGCAGGAAGTAAAAGGTACTTTTTACTTTCCTGTTTTCTCTTCATACTCCTTCTCACAATAAAATAATGACCAGTTCAGTTTTTTAATTTATGATGATAAAGAAACACCAACTACATTCCAAATTTCAAAGCTGAAGAATTCTCCACAAGTTTCTATGTTTTCCACAAAAATGATCTGACTCCACATTCCAGATAGATGCATTATACTACAGGGATCAAAAATAAAAGTGTTAGAAACATGTTTTCGAGTAGTTGTTTTTTCTAAATATAGTATTAAAATAGAAGTATGGAAGATCATATTCATTTTAATAAGCTGATAAAAGTACATGCATTTTTTGGTATTAAACCTGTATATTAATCTACTTTTTGCCCTGACTGTTCAAATGTGTTTTGAACATATCAGTTAAGCACATTATTTGTACATCTCATTTTCTATCAGCTTATGGGGTAGGGAAAAGTTTTGAACTCTTACTGTCATCTGAAAGAGAACTTAAAATGTTCTGGATAGAAATATTTCACCTATTCAGTACTTTTTTTTTTCGTTGCCAAGGAAAATAGGAACTCTGCACTCAAGTCATTCCTTATTTGAGTTTACTGTTCTGTCAGGGATCAAAATGGCTACCATTCAACTAATGATTTAAAATGGTGACTTTAGAGTTCTCTCTCTGAAAATGACAGTGTATTTTGTTGTTGACTTTTTAACATTTAATTTAATTTACCCAGACTGTTTTTAATCACTTAAGAGCACCCTTACTTTGCTTCACTGTAATTAGCTCTTCTCCCATCCTGCAGTCTGTCCCTAAAATACACAGTCAACATGACATCCTCACATCCAGTTTTCTTAGTATATTCTTCTTACATTTCTACTCCAATAAGATTAATTCCTTTTACAATTAACTATATCTGACATTAAGTGGAATAGGTGGGTTAGAAGTTGAGAGAATCGTGTTTATTGGCATATGTATGGGGAAATTTGGAAGACAGAATTTGCATAACCGAGAAAAACTTTTTTTGGGTCAGGAGCTGCACAGTATCCTTTGCAGAGACCAATCTATTTTAGTATATCAGAAAATTATGATTTTAAGTGAGGGAGAAACAGAACTGTATGAATTCCTGAGCCATGTAGATCATGCTGTAAAAATCCAAAGGAGCAACACACAGTTATGTCTTCAGAAAACATCTGTAGAGACCTTTCAGCATTACACAATATAATTATTTTTTCTTGTATTGGCATTGTCTTACATGGGAATTAGAAAGATACCTCGAAGGGAGAGTTTCACATAGACAGAAACAGTATATAATGGCTCCTCCGGCCAGCCCCCCAAAATGCAGCAAGTGATAGAAAGGGGATAGACAAAGCTGAGACTGGTGCACACAGAATTGAACAAGGAAAGAGAATGAGCCGTCATTGATTTTTGCATGGAAATTTTTGTCCCAACATTTTCACTGCTTTTGGGAAGCTGTAAATGATGCCAGTGTAAGGAAGCATTTTGAACTTTTGCATGGTTCCAGTAGCCTGTTACATTTAGGCTGAGAATATTAATTCAGTCTTTACCAACCTAGGATGAAAGTATTTTTATTATGATGCAGCGTGATGATACTTGAGTGAATCTCAGTAGTCTGATTTTTTTTTTTTTTTTGGTATGGCAAAAATTGTTGCAACACATAAGTAATGTGAGCTGTCAATATAAACTAAAAGGGTATATCTACACTGGTACCCTCTTTCAAGAGAGGGATGCAAATGAAGACATTTGCAATTGCAAATGGCAGCCGGGATTTAAAGATCCCGACCTTCATTTGCATATTCATTATGGCGCTATTTCGAAATATCTTTCGAAATAACAGACGCCGTTAAGATGTGGTTATTTTGAGAGAAAACCCTTCTCTCAAAATAACCCTTATTCCTCATACAATGAGGTTTATCAGTTATTTTGAGAGAAGGGTTTTCTCTCGAAATAACCATGTCTTAACAGTGTCTGTTATTTCAAAATGCACTATTTTGAAATAGCGCCATAACATAAATATGCAAATGAAGCGTGGGATATTTAAATCCCAGCTTCATTTGCAATTTCGAATGTCTTCATTTGCATCCCTCTCTCGAAAGAGGGTGCAAGTGTAGACATACCCTAAAAGAGACGTGGAATAGGCAGTAAAACAACTGATGTAGAATTGAGCAAACACCTTACAATATTTAAATAAAGGGAAAGTAAAATATGGTTTGCAATGCATTTAAAAACATTCCCTCCATCACAAATTATATGAGTTCTCTGACACTTTTCAGTAATGAAGTTGTGTTAGTATAAAACTATTGGTGTAGTTACATGACCTGTTTATTATTGCAGACTTCAACTACCAGTGTTAAAGTTCAAATTCCTTCCTATGGCTATAAGTTTCTAACAGTCAAAATATATCCTATAGTTAGAGTTCCCAGGGAAGATTAAGGGAAAATGGTTTAATTGAGTTGGCAGATATCAATAAAATGGGTGGTGCTGCTTTATAGTAATTTGAACTAGTAACTTAAGTGTTTTGTTCTAAATCATGCCCACATCTGCTACTAACATTACTGGAAGTTGTGAACGGATAGGAAAATGTAAACCCAAATTTGTTTTAAATTTCACATTCTTTTAAGATTGCGTAAATATATTAGTCTTTCTGAAAAAGATCCAGGGTAGTAACATCAGTAATATGACAAGATCTAGTTTGCCATAGCAGTTGTGGCTTTGAGAAATCTGCTTGAAAGCAGAGGATGAAATTCAAGGGCAGAGAAGACAAGAGTTGCTTGGGCAAAAATGAATATGTAAGAACACAAAGAACATGAGCATTTCATTAGAAATGTATACAAATGTACATTTTATCTAGAAAAGTTAAATGATTTTCTGAATTACAATACACTGATTTTCTTGTGTTTGTATTTGTCTGAAAATTCACTTAGGTTGAGGGGAAAAGATCAGCTGTTTGTTTATAATCCAAGTATTAATTTTATTCTTCTTTTCTGTAAGAAATGTTTGCTCGTTTAGTATCTTTTCTGAGTAGAGAATCATATTCAATGTAAAACTGATGTTTTGAAAAGAGTTCAAAATACAATATTTTAATATCCAGAAAAGAGCCCCAGATGAGACTGTTTGGAGCGACTATAGCTTATCATAACAGTTTGAGTGTTAGTCATGTGGCAGAGAGGAAAGGGTGGATACATAATCTTCCAAAAAGGCTGATTACTTCATAAATCAGGATCAGTTTGGTTTAGTTGTTGTCTTTTTTTTCCTCCCCTGAATTGTGAAATATTTTGTGGAGTAGAACAAAAACATTATAAAAAAACCAAGAAATGCTCTTTCTAAGAACTGTTACTAAGGTACCAGGGCCTGATAGCATTTGACTTTATTAAGATTCCTAAATATATAAATAGAAATAAATGTAAAACAATGGTAATTATACTAATAACCTCTGAGGGAAGCATTTTGGGAGCCTGGCTTCAGTGGCTTTTTAATAGAGCAGTAACTCAAATGCAACAATTTGTCTTTGGTCACCAAGTCTAAAGATTAAGTACAATTGTCAATATGCTGGTATTGTTTTCAGGGATGGTTGACTTATTCTAGAATTTAATGAGCATATTCTGTATTTGTAAACCTCATTTTAAACTGGCTGTGTTGTGAAATATCATTTGTCATTTTTGTTAATAGGAGAGGGCTTCAACTAGGAAGGAGGCTTAACATTTTCCCTGATACTCCCACTGTTACAGAAGGGACGCCTGAAGCAGGTTAGTGGAAAAGCAGCAGCAGCAGCAACAAAAACCCAAATGGAAGAAATTCTTCCAAAATAGAGAAATTCACTGTCTCATGAAGGAGCAAGGTTTGCTGCTAGCTTGCTGATTTCAGAGCTGGTCATAAATTAATGTGTGGTCTCTATCTGTTTATTGATAAGCAAGACTTCTACACAGTGTCTTTCAGGACTAACGGGTACTAACAATTATTTGGTAAAGTTGACCTGTGGTACTGCTTGCTATTGTAGGTGTTTCTTGCATGAACGCTAAAATTCCCCTCAATTTTTTCAATAGAAAATGTGTATTTGGTTTACCCTTGGTTTCCAGTGGACATTTTGTGCAATGATCTTACATTATGGACTAGATCTTTCTCAGAATAGTCTTGAGACTATAGTCTAAGGGGAAAATGGGATAGGATTGATGTGTGCTGTCAGAATTCTGAGAACCTTGCAGAGACATCCTGGATAAACTATGCTTAGTGTTGCCTGATGTAGGTTCGCTCTCACATGCATTCACTTGAAACACCTACAACATCTTATTTAAACAAGCGCAACAGAAAACCCTTTAGCTGTATCCCTCTATATCAACAAATCTTAGCCAGCTATGCATGTCAGACCCAACATGCATGTAATACCCTTCAAAAATGAATGCCAGAGTGGGAGTATGATTTAGGAGTTAAAGCACAAGACTGGCTTTCCCATGCTGTGTGAATTTGATCAAATCTCTTAAGTTTGTCTCTGCTTCAGTTTCCCTTTCTGTAAAATGGGTTTCGGTAATATCTTGTAGGCAATGAATCAGAATTCATTGATTTTTATAAAATACTTTGAGTTCCTTTGGGAAAAGGCACTCTTGCATTGCCCAGTGTTATAATAAAATGTAAAATGAGAGGCTGCAGAAATAGTGTTTGTTGTTCAATAAATGGCACTCTGCAGATCAATAAAGAGCCAATGTCAGGGTTTGTGGTTTTGTTTTTAGGATTCAAGACTAGGACTGTTAGTTCAAATGCTTTGTCCAGCTTCTAGTTTGGGTAATTTTGTCTCCATTAATTTCTTCCTGCAGTTTCAATTGTATAGCTTTTTATTTCATGTATGAAAATGTCATATAGTGCCATTTGATAGATTCCCAAGCCAAAAGGAACTATCATTATCATCTAGTCCGGGGTGGGCAATCATTTTTGCCCTGGCATCATGTCAGAGTTTTTTGAAGTAGCCCCGGGCCACCCCAGATGGGGTGGGGCCTAAATGGGAAGGAGCGGAGCTACCCCACCCCAAGACCATGATTGGTCTGGGGGTGAGGGAGCCCCTTTGCCCCCCTTCCCACCAGGCACCCATGCCCTGGAAGGGGCTTGGCATGCTCCCCCACTCCCCAGGCCAATCAGGATCTGGGAGCGGGGAAGTGTTGGAAGCCTCCTCCTGCCCTGCAAGGAGCCCGTGGCACTTTGAAGTGCCACGGGCTCCTCGCAGGGCTGGGGCAGGGCAAAGGAAGCCTCACACTGATTAGCCTGAGGGTGGAGGAGTGCGCAAAACCTCCTCCGCTCTCCCCACATCCTGCAAGCAGCGTGTGGCACCATGTGCTCCTGGCAGGGTGGGAGGAGGCTTTATGCGCTTCCCCGCCCCCAGGTCAATTAAGGCCTGGGGGTGGGGGAGCACGCAAAGCCTTCTCCGCTCTGCCCCCGCCCAAAGCACAGCATGGGGCAGAGTGGAGAAAGCTTTGAGCGCTCCCCAGGTCCTAATTGTCTGGGGGGCAGGGAAGCAGTAGGGCCTCTGCTGGCTAGATCCACCTGCTTGGCGGGCCGTATGTGACCCGTGGAGGCCCTTTTGTCCACCCCCTGATCTAGTCTGATCTCATGTATAGCCCAGGCCATAGAACTTCCTCAAAATAATTCCCAAAGCAGATCTTATAGAAGGACATTCAGTCTTGATTTAAAAACTATCAGTGGTGGAGAATTGACCATAACCCAGGGCAAATTGTTCTAACGGCTAATTACATTAACAGTTTACACCTTGTTTCCAGTCTGAATTTGTCTAGCTTTAAATTCCAACAATCGGATCATGTTATACCTTCCTTTGCTAGATTAAAGATCCTATTATTAAATACTTGTTCCCTATGAGATTTAGTCATTCCTTAACCTGCTGTTTTTTCAGCTGAACAGATTGAACCCTTTGAGTCGGTCGTTAGAAGGCATGTCGTCTACTCTTAATTTTTTCTTGTGGCTATTCTCTGAATCCTCTCTAATTCATCAGCATCCTTCTTGAATTGTGGACACAATATTAGGGTTGTGAAAGGGTTAACTGGTTATCTAGTTAACCAGCAAGCTTCACCCTAAATAGGTAATGCTTACTGGTTCTGATTAACTGATAACTGGTGGGTGGACTGGAGCAGCCCCCCCCCTGCCATGGACAGGCAGCTGCTCCAGCCCCGCAGGGGGCCTGCTGTGGACAGTGGGTGCTCTCATCTGAAGCAGCTGCTATCTGTGGTGGGCCTACCCGCCCCACAGACACCCTGCAGGCAGCGCTGCTCTGACGGGGGGCTGGGAGCCAGCAGCAACGTTGGCCACGCTAGAGCAGTCCCCAGCCTGAATCCCTCTTTAGTCAGTGAACTGGTTAAATGTTTAACCGGTTAACTTATTAACTAGGATTTTACATCCCGAATTAAGATTCCAGCAGTGGTTGCACCAGTGCCAAATACAGAGGTAAAATAACCTCTTTGTTCTTATTCAAGATGCTACCTACCGTTCTTGCACCCTAGGATTTCATTACTACTTTTTTACTCCAACATCACACTAGAAGCTCCTGTTAGCTGATTATCCACAATGATATCTAATATTTTTTCAGTTAGTGCTTCCCAGACGAGTGTGAAGCAATTACTGATTTTATTGAATGCAGTCACCTCTGAGATGGAACGTAAACACTGTTTAACAGAATACTGCAGTTGTCTCCTTTTAAGAATCAAATTAGCATATGTTTAAGATTATTAAAATTAGACCGTTTTTATATATAAAATCCAGAATAGGCGGTATAATGCTCTCTTAAACTACCCTACCAAAAATACATATTCAGATTAGCTAAATTTTGGGTTGAATCAAGACTGTTCAGAAGTGTTGGTAGATATTTTTATTAGTAACTTTTTGAACTAGCTTGTACACAGCCCTATTAAAAGCAGAACTGCAAATGTTATTGATACTTTTAAAAGATTCATATACTATTTATGCATGCCGTAATTTATAAATAGACTACAGTATAGCACAAGTAAAACTTGAAGAAAGTGAGTGAAGCTTATGGGATTTTTCATGAGTTATCAACAAGGATGCCTCTCAGTTTTTAATGTCATTTTCTCATCTAATTCCCAATAGCACTGAGGAAAGCTACAATACATTTTAAGCCAGAAACCTTATTACCCAGCTTTACTGATTATAAGCTTCATTGCAAAAAAGTTTTTTTCCTACTAGGAGGAAATATCAGTAAGATATTTGATTCCTTAACTTATTTCCTCTTGTTTTCTAATTTCATATTAGTGCAGATATTGAACTGAAGTGTTTAAACACACCATGAATGCAAGTTGAAATTTTGAAATCCCGAATTGTAAGTGGAAAATCAAGGAAAACTGTCTAAAGGCTGTTAAAGCTGTTAATAAAGGAGCACTTTGAACTATGCTGTTTTTTATTACTTAAAGATAAATGTAAGATTGCTTTGCATCCAGCAGATACACCATGCTTGTAAACTTAAACTTTGGCTAATCCTTTTTAAGAAGACTGAGTAGCAAATGATCAGAATTAGGGATGTAATAGTGTAGTCGATTAACCGATAAGCAAAAGCTTATAGGTTAATGCTACAGACTACACTCATTCCCCCCACTCCTTGACAGTACATTTTTTAGCAGGCTGGCCAGCAGCCTGGCTCAGTACTGGCTCACACCCGGTCTGGGTCCTACCCCCTCTGCAGCTCTGCATTTCAACTGTATTAGGAGCCAGGCAGGCAGCCCAGCTCAGTTCTGGATCACACCAGGTCTGGGAGCTCAGCTCCCCCCCTCGCCTGGACATGGGCTGCTGCCACTCCGCGCATCTGCCTCTCTATCAGAGCAGCAGTACAGGGTGACAGACAGCCATTCCACAAGGGGAGCTGGTTTTTAAACGGGCTCCCCTCTCAGACCAGCTCCTGCCTGGCACCCTGCACTGCTGCTTCTGATACAGAGGCAGCAGCACGGAGAGACAGGGGGCTGCTGGCCCAATCCCTGGGGGCTGTAGAATAGTCAAGTAATCGATAAGAATTCAAGCACTTAATTGACTATTCAGTTAACCAATATTTAACATCGCTAATCAGAATACTTAAAGGATAAAGTAGAAGCAATGATTCCATTACAGTTAATTTTGTAACTTGGTTTCCATTACATTTTTGGGTATTCTTTTAACAGCTCCAAACAAAAGAATATTTTCAAGGAAATGAGTAAGTGATAGGTGTGGCTGAGGCAGATTTTTTCTGCCAAGTATGAATGAATTTGAACAAGAGTTTTCTGATTTACTGCCCTCAAAGTAGAAATGTTTTCCAGAGTGGAAAAGTCTGCATGTGTCTGCCTTTTTCATAGCAAAGGAAAGAAAGGGAGAATTTAGTTTACTGGACTCAACTAATTGATATGGTCCAGAAGATCAAAGATTAGGTAAGGGCCATTCTGACATTTACTATTTCAAATGTTAATCATTTAAAACTACGTGACTGCTGAAAACTTAAGCTTTCGTTTTAAGGAACTTCAGTTTCTTCCTTGTAGAGACAAACATACAAATGTAAACCCATGCAAATGTTACTCCTGGTGGAACAAGGTGTACCGGTAGTTTGGATTAGAGAGCCTAATCCGAACTACCTACTCCGTGCTGCGTGTAGCCGCAGGCACGGAGTCCGAACTACTGGGGCTTTAAAAATGGCGGCGCCCGGCAAGATGCAAATGAATATTTAAATCCCGGGCTTTATTTGCAACTTCGGTTGCCTACATTAACCACCCTAGTTCGAACTACGGTGGTAGTGCAGACATACCCAAAGTTAATTAGATAAACTATTATTAAATAGGGACATTTTAAAAAAAACCTTCGCCATTAAAAAATTCTTAAGGCATTTTTGCCTGATATGTTTCCAAATACCATGAATCTTCTCACTCTCATAATCGACAGTCATTGGTTATAGATCGGCAGTGGATTATTTTGTGTACCTGTGAATTAAAAGACTAAGCAAGATGGAATGTGTCAATGAGTAAAAATCTTGGGTGAGATGAGCATTGAATTGGCCTGCTGCAGGTTGTGTGTAAATGTTAGACATGAAGCCAAGAGATGACTAAACGAGTAGGACTTATAACATGTAATATTTTGGCCAAATTCCAAGAATGTTGCTGGGTTGGGTGAGCTGTCGAGGGAATACTAGAATATTTGAGAAAGGACTATTTAATGGAAAAGGTGAAAGGGTCCTTTTTAGTACTTCTGAATGCTAACTTGAAGTAATTGTAATTTTAAGAGAGTGCTTGAAAAATGTAGTTTTAATTTACATTTATATTTTATAAAATACTAATTTACAGTATTTTACAGTTCAGGTAGAAAGACATAGGCCTAATTTTTCAAAAGTGAATATAGGTTGAACCTCTCTGGTCCATCAACATCTGTGGTCCGGCTTGATTTTAGTTAGCAGGATGTTCACTTATCATAGGTGTGTCAGTTTCCTGCAGTCCCATAATGGTGTTTCTTACAGCCAGCAGTCCTGGCTCTGTTATTTAACTCTAATTTAGTTATTTAGTGTTGTTGCTTAGCTCTAATTTACTCCTAAATGTGTTCTAAAAGCCCCGTAAGTAGTGCAAGTGCTGGTAATGCTGCTAGACAATACTGACCTCCTGTGGTTTGACAAATTCTCTGGTTTGGCACCAGTCCGGTCCCCCTAGGGTGCTGGACAAGAGAGATTGAACCTGCAGTGATTTTGGATGTCTCCTTTTTGTTTGGCGTGAGGTATCTGAAAGTCTGACCCCTTTAAAGCATGTCAAGTTGGACACCCCAAAATACAAGTGGCTCCTTAAAACTCTAGGCCATAGTCTCAGTGTTTGCAGTGTAATCTTATATAGAGTGATGTGATGACTGACTGGGGGATGACAAGCATGGAGGTTAACGGGGTGTAGAGGATGAACAGTCTAGTGATTTAACAGTTACTCAGATCTGTCATGTGCATGCCCTTGAATATAGTAAATATTAAACAATTAAAAAGTCTCATTTATTGTTGGCATAATGAAAGTAGTGCAAGTTGAAGAGATTATTTAAGCTATATTGTGTGAAAGAGGACAACATTAAAGACAGTGAGATAAATGCAGTCAGGATTTCTTAGTCTTGTATGATTGATTATTGACTGGAATTTTTTTTAAAGCAGAAAAACTGGGCAGCTGATCAAGATGGGCAAGATTCACAGTAAACAATTGGAAACACTTGCAGATGTGGGTTGCCTCAACAAATGAGAGCATAATCATGAAATACCAGGAAACCCCTTAGAGTAAACAAGTCCCTGTCGTCTTTATTAAAAAGTGCATAGGCCAATTTCAGAATGTAATGAGTTAAATATAAAAAATTGTAAGTAACGAAAAGCAGCCAAAATGTGTCAAAATCAGAAACAATCACATGATGGAAAATTTAATTCCTATTTGTAACATTTGGGAAAGGAGTTAAATAACTTATTTGCAATTTTGACAGATTAGTAAGCTAGTTTACAAGTCATTTGAGAATTCAGTAGACTTTTATGCTGCACCATGATTAAAGGCTGCAACTTAAAAGATGTAAGTCTGCAAATATCAGCCTTCACTAAATTTGATAATCTTAAACAAAATATGATCTAAGTCAATTCTGGCAAACTGACAGATCTGTTTTTTCTTTTTTCATATTTAGAGTCTTCACCTACGCTCTGGGATCTGGAACTTGCTAATCAGATTGCAGCAGTAAATCAACAGCCGCCTCGGAATGGCTTTGAAGAGATGATCCAGTGGACAAAAGAGGGAAAACTGTGGGAGTTCCCTATTAATAATGAAGCGGGTAGGTGTTCTGTAGCTTTTGTGGTCTCTTTCTATTTGTAGAGAATTAGAGCACCAACCTCATGCTTGAGAGTTTTAATAATATATTTCAGAAATGCCTAGCACATATACTAGTTGACTAATCCTTTTGCTCAAGTAAGTAACTTTAAACTGTCTTAAGTTAGTGAAGCTTCAGATGAAGACATCATGTAAATTTTGCTGTTAAATCCTAATCAGTGTTAAGGAAAATAGTTCAAAATGGTTCAGAGGGGTAGCTGAGTCAGTCTAACAGGAAAAAACAACAAATAGTCTGGTAGCACTTTAGAGACTAACAAAACATGTAGATGGTATCATGAGCTTTCGTGGGCACAGCCCACTTCTTCAGATGACCGGAGTGTTGGATGTCCAGAACCAAGAATAAATGTGGGAAGGAGGGGTGGGGGAGAAAAAGAGACAGTGGATAGATAAGTTTAAAAGGGAAAGCCAAGCCAGTCTGTAACAGGAAAAACTGAACAAAAACAGATAGTATGTTATCACCTTAAAGACTAGATAGTTAAGAGGCTGATGAGAACCATTAGTTTGCATTTGGAGAGAAAGAGTACTAACAACAGTTCTATACAGACATCAAGAACCATTGGCATCTTCAGTGGTTGGTTGGTTGATAATGTCCCAGCCATCCCATATTGCAATTTAAACCATCTGCATGAGAATTAAACTTGTGCATGAAGTGGAGTTCCAATTCTTCTCTGTGTATTTGGCTTGTGGAATTGATCTGTAACAAAACAGCAACGTGGAGATCCCTTAATTGAGTGTCCATGGAGGTTAAAGCATTTCCCAACAGGTGTTTGTGTTTTCTTTTCAGATATCTGATTTTTGTCAATTAATTATTTCCCATAAGGACTGATAGAGGCAGCAAGGGGGGAGAATAGGAGGATACTGCTGCTTTGAATGTGGTGCTGCCACTTTGAATGCCGCAGGGAGCCTGGTGTCGGCTCCTTGTGGCATTTCAAAGCAGCAGCACTGCTTGGAGCCTGGAATCAGCTGGGGAGTCCCCAGCTGACCCAGGACTTCGTGTGGCACTGCTGCTTTGAATGCTGCTGGGAGCCTAATGTCGGGCTCCCCCTGGCATTTCAAAGCGGCAGTACTGCACGGAGCCTGGGATCAGTTGGGGACTCCTCAGCTGATCCTGGGCTCAGTGCAGCACTGCCGCTTTGAAACGCCACTGCGGCTTTTCAAAGTGGCAGCGGCACAGGCACTTTTGCCTTTGAAGTGTAGGTACCCTATCGACTACAGGCAGTCCCCGAGTTACGCGGATCTTACTTATGTCGGATCCGCAGTTACGAACGGGGCTTTTCTCGCGCCGGAGGACTGGAGCGGCGGGACGCCCAGATGCGCTGCAGTCCCGCCGCCCCCATCCTCCGGGGCGAGAAAAGCTGCTCCCCGTCTCTCTGGTCTGCAGGGAGACCGGGAGCAAAGCCTTGGAGCACGCCCACAGTGGGACTGCCCGGGCGCGCTCCAAGGCTTTGCTCCCTGTCTCCCTGATCAGCAGACCAGGGAGACGGAGCAAAGCCATGGAGGACGCAGGCGGTCCCGCCACCCGCGTCTCCCTCGGCTGCTGTGGGGGGGTGGGGCAGCTAGGGTCCCCTCTCCCCCCCT